GAAAGAATGAAGGTCAAAGAAGACGGGGACGGCAAAGGATGAGATGGTTAGACAGTGTCATCAATGCAACGAACATGAAGTTGAGCAAACTCTGGAGGACGGTGGAAGACAGGAGGGCCTGGCGTGATGTGGTCCATGGGGTCGCAAAGAGTCGGACTCGACTGTGCGACTGAACAACAACAACAACCCACTGCTGCCCACAGGAACAGCTCCCCGCCCTCCTCGAAGGGACAGCCCTTCAAAGCCTTCAAGAGAGCCATCCTGTCCCCCCCCCCAACCTCCTCTTCTTCAGACCGATCATTCCCAAGCCCTTCAGCCTGTCCTTGTCGGGCTGGGTCTCCAGGCAGGTACCACTGGTGTGCAGATGACAGGGCAGGAGGGGAAATGGGGAATCTGCAGGGGGGGGCCTCCCCCTCCCCCCACACACTCCCCCCTCCCCTTTGGCTTTTTATAGCTGATTGTGGCTCCTTTCCCTCTGACTTGTCTACAGTTTTGAGCCTCTGAACCGGGGCCACCTCATGGGCTTATGAAGAAAGGCTGAAGCCGGCAAAGCGATGGGGGGGGGGGGCTACCCCCAACCCACTTGTTTCCAGTTTCAGGGTTTTCCTCTCCCTCTCTCTGACTAATTGGAAATTAATTGGAGTGTCTCTTTTCCCGGTTTAGTGAGTAACTGCTGCACCCCCTCCCACACCTCCTCTGGCCGTCCTTGCCGCTTTTCAGCTTCTTGGAACTTTCGGACAAGTCAAAATTTCTCTTTTAGAAAAGTGCTTTGCAAAGTCTATGGGTGAGTGTCAAAGGCCTCCTAGACCTCTGGAAGTGGGGGGGGGGGAGGTCCCCTCCCCAGAGTTAAACCAGAGGCACGCCCTGCACTCTTACACTAGAGCAGTTTGGCTTCTAAGGGTAAGAATGACTCACCCTCTTAGGAAAAGGGACCCTGTGTGTCTCTGTGTAACTCACCTTTCTGAGCAGGAGTCATGGCTGGAAGGGAGGGAGGATGCAGAGCAGGGACTCGCACAGAGAAGCATGGACAGCCTCCCCTGTCAGCTGGTCCCTTGAGGTTGCCAGAGACATTTATTTTCATTAGGATGTTGTCGAAATAATGAGGTGGGGACACAGTTGTTGGAATGGGTTTTTTGACACTATGATCAGTGTTCCCTCTAAGCAGGGTTATAGTGTGAGCTAGCTCACTGTTTCTTAGCCTCCAGCTCATACATTTTTGCCTTCGCTCAGGAAGGAGGGCTCCAGAGCACACTCATTGATGCAGCAGCCAAATCACTGGCTCAGAACTGTCATGCCAGGAGCTCAGAAAGTAGAATTTTTGCTCACGAGACTCCACAGCTTAGGCGGGGGAGCGCTGACTGTGATCCAGAGGGAATCGCTTCACTTTCCAACTCCTGGGGTAACAAGGGAAGACGCTGCAGAGCAGACTTTCTCTCTGTCCGTCCGCCCGCCCCGTTTTGCAGCGCATCAACTTTTCCTCGCGCGTTGTCCTTCGCCGCGGTGAGCAAGAGCGGCCAGCCCCAACACCAGCCCGGCTGCCAGGCGGGGGAAACCGGCGCGGATCAGGGGGCAGAGCTGCTCGCGGGCCGGAGCAAACCAGCGGCCTGCCTTTGTCCGGCGGGCTGCTTGGGCTCCGTCCCCTCTTTTTGCAGGGAGTTGGCGCGGCGGCAGGTGCCCAGAGGGGGCGGGGCGCAGGGGGAGGGTCCCTGCGCCCGTCCGGCCCCCTCCCTCCCTCCGGCAGGCGCCGCCACCGCCTCCATCTTTGATGCGGGCACTGGGGAAAGCGCTGTCCAGCAGCGACGGCCGCAGACCTCGGGAGGCGCTCGCCTTGGCCCGCCCCGCGCTCCGGAACGGAGGGGGGGGGGCTAAATCCTTCTCCTAAATTAG